AACATGGCAATTTCTCCTCATTATTTCTATGAACTGTTGGGAGAGGTACAAAAGGGTAAATTCTATTCTCTTCAACCAGCAAGGATTAAAGAAAAAAAAATTTTTTTAAATGTTTATTTATTTTTGAGAGACAGAGAGAGACAGAGCATAGCTGACGGGGTGGGGGGCGCAGAGAGAGAAGGAGACACAGAATCTGAAGCAGGCTCCAGGCTCTGAGCTGGCAGCACAGAGCCTGATGCGGGGCTCGAACTCATGGACTGTGAGATCATGACCTGAGCTGAAGTTGGACGCTTAACCGACTGAGCCACCCAGGCGCCCCAAAAAATCTTTAAATTTTTGTGCAAGAATTCGTATTCCTCCTTATTAAGAATAGTCAATCTCACAGACGTTAAAGGGGCACACTTTGTCAGCTCAACTGAGAAAGCCCCGGACAAACTTCAGGCCCTAGAACAGCACAAAATCATGTTTATATTCTATCGTGTTCTCTGTGACATCAGATATATATGTCTTATGTCTCCAGTTTATTTGGAAATAAATAATTTGTTCATTACGTCTCAGGTCTCAAAAACTCATCAATTAAAAAAAACCAAAAAAGCCCTCACCAAGAGTCTAATCTCCATCTACCCTACAGTTCTTTCTACAACATACTCACTTTTGGTCCAACTTGTGCCTGAACATTGTTAGATACAGAAAACTTATTGTATCCATTTCTTCATCGACTGGACAACATTCTTAGAATGTTGATACTTAAGTTGAATCAAAATCTGTCTTTCTACAGCTTCCAATTACTGGCCTAAGTATGACCTTGAGCTACATGAAACCTATCCACATGAATTGGTTGGAAATAACTCGGTTAGAAACAAATATTTTCAGCCCATGGTTTTTCATGTATCTGTAATTTGGGCATATCCTGGGGGCAAGTTTTAAAACAGTTACCTGTCTTTAAATATTTCTGTTCATTCTTATTTTAGAAAATTTTCAGGCATATATATAAATATATATATGTATATAAATATATATATATAAATATTTATAATTATTTTCTGCCAATTATATTTAAATCTCCCTATTTGGCAATATTCCCATAAATGTCTTAACTTCTGCTCCAAAGAAACTCAATTTTCTGACAACATTTGACAGAAAGTACATGTTAACATTTACCACTTCCTGTCTTCATAACTTTTAGGCACCTACAGTCACCTATTTTTTTTTTTTTAAGCTCTCCTTTTATACTTTTAAAGCTACTTTGGTTATTTTGTTTAAAAAATAATTTGTATCCATGGGTACCTACTTGTTCTCTATGGTTCCACTTTTACTATTCTTGAGTTTAATATTTCCTTGACGTGTAAACCATTTTTATTTAGCAAAACTTCTCTGCTGTGTCCTACCATGTCATCACCAGTTTTGCTTTTATGTCCCATGGGGATTGCACCTAGAGTGACAAGCAAAGGCCGCTGCAACAGGAATGTAGGGAGAAGTCTAGGCTTGTCGATACCATGGCATCCATGGTATACCCAAATGTCAGCAAATGAAATGCCATCTGGTGTAGCACCTGCCCTATAGGAGGAGAGTCTGAAGTCACTGGAGATAAGCTTTATCCTGCATTACCTATAGCACAACACTCATCTTTGCTTTCTCAAGCCTCTCAAAGTTA